CTCTCGCTCACGCACTCGTACTTTGACATTGACGTCAAGACGAACCCACTGCTGCATCTCTGGTCGCTCGGCGTCGAAGAGCAATTCTACATCTTTTGGCCGCTGCTCGCGTCGCTGCTCATGCGTCTGAGCTACCGCAAGGCGATCGCACTGCAGCTGGCGGTCGTCGTCGTCAGCTTTGGCATCAACGTGAGTCTTCTCGGCGTTCAAGGCAGCAACAAGTGGTCGTTTTACATGCCACTGAGTCGGTTCTGGCAAATGGCGCTCGGCGGTCTTCTCGCCTACCTCCACTGCACAGCGATCGTCGAGGTCGAGGTCGAGGTTGAGCCCGAGGTCGAGCCCGAGACAGAGACCGAACCGTCGGTCCTCGAGCACGCGGTGCAGCGCGTCGCAGCCATGTACGTTGCCGCCGCGCCGTCCAGCCGCGACCAAGTCGTGTCGATTGTCGGGCTCGGACTCGTCCTCGTTGGCTTTGCCAGCGTGAACGAAGACCGGCTCTTCCCGGGGTTCTGGGCCCTTCTCCCGACGCTCGGCGCGACGCTGCTCATCGCCGCCGGTCCCGACGCTGCCTTCAACAAGCATGTTTTGGGCCATCCACTGCTCGTGTACATTGGCAAGATCAGCTACTGTCTCTACCTCTGGCACTGGCCGCTCCTCGTCTTTGCCATCGAGCGGTACCCGGACGCGAGCAGCCGCCCAGCGTACATGGCGCCGTGGGTCATGCTTGGCATCTCGCTGCTGCTGAGCGTTCTTACGTACGAAGACGTCGAGAAGCGGCTCCGGCGCCGCACGTCCAAGCTCGTGACGCCGCTGCTCGTGCTCTGCGTGATGGCGCTCGGGGTCCTTGCGGCGCTCGCGTATGCGTCGCCGACGCACTACTCGGCCATTGAGCTCGACTTGGCGGCCAGCATGGACTCGGACTTTGCTTCGACAGCCGATATGTCGGTGGTCGCGACGACAGCGCCGGCAGGGGTGATCCAAGACGTGGTGCCAACGGCGACCTTGGCCGCGGTCGTCGCACAAGTGAACGCATCGACGGCTGCTGCTGCATTGAATGCGTCCACGGACCTTGCCCACAGCACGGTTGCGCCGGTGGCAGCTGCCGAGATCAAGGCGACAGTGGCGCCGACGCCTGCTGTCCCCAAAAATTTCGCCAAGACGACGGTAAAGATGGCTCGTCATGCTATTGCCGACGGGGAATGGGATAAACCCATACCTGGTTATTGCCCGACCGACACGCCGTATATCACAACCGCCAAGCTCCGCGAGCCATTCCCGTTCAAGGACCCGACGTACGCAGGGTACCCGGAGCGGTGCCAGGCCATCAACCCTAGACACGAGGCTAACGGCGTCATCGTCGTCCTCGGTGACTCGCACGGTGACATGTCCAAGCCCCGCTTTGCACAGCTCTTCAACGAGAGCATTGCGGCCAAGCAGCCGTTCCCGACCGTCGTCTTCAAGACCCGCTGGGGCCGCGCGATGCTGCCGTGCCGCCCCGAGTTTGCGCAGAACATCGAGATGCTCAAGACGCTCAAGCCAAATGTTGCGCTCTTCGTCGTACACTGGGTGCAGTACCTCAACCCAGGCGCCCCAAAAAACAAGCCAGCAAGCCACCCGCCGGTGTGCTGCATGTACGAAGGCGCCCCGTGCAAGGAGCAGAGTCTCGCCGATGTCGATGCGATTCTGGCAGAGTTCCAGAGCCAACTGCTGGCCGTGTCTGCCCTCGGCATCAAGGTGTTTGTCGTCGACCAGAGTCCCGAGTACGCGCGCATAAACCCCAACGCATGGATCCAAGGCGACAAGGTCAAGCTCCCGGCGCCCGTGAGCCGCGCAACCTTCCAAAAGGAGAAGACCTGGCTCTTTGAGCGCCTGCATCCGACCTTCACGGCGGCCAACGCCACCGTGATCGACTATGCGGACGACTACTCGGACGGCGATACGCTCAAGCTGACGGACGCATATGGCGAGCCCACGATGTGTTTCGGCGGCCACCTCTCGACGTACACCGCACGCAAGCATCTCCACGTGCTCGATCGGGTCGTGCAGGCTGCATTGGTCGTCTAGGCTCGACCCCAGCATGCTAATAATCTTTCCAGCATTAGATATGTATATTAGTCAATCGAATACCTTTTTTTTTCATCAAATTCGCTTATGTAGTGCCCGTGCCCTTTCGACCCCGGACGGTTTTCTCAGTTGGTCGCGGCAAGCATGGTAGCAACGGTACGCGCGACGGTCTGCGCGATGCAGCTCACGCTCCATAGCTCCACGAGCAACTCTATCACGCTGCGCGGTCGGGCGACCACAGCGCCGTGTCGGTCGCCCTCAAGCGCGGCGCCAACGCCAACACCGAGACCGAGGTCGGTTCGCAGCATTTCCATCCGCGAGCGCATTTTGAGCGCGTAGGGCTGGACACCACTGCTGCGCGCCGCCCAGAATGGCCACAGTCTCGTCGTACACTTCCTCTTGCGGTCGATGCCCGACGTCAACAAGCCCACAAGCGTACGAATGACAGCAGCAACAGCTCGAGCAGACGTATGCGAATGTCTAGGACGGGGCCACACCGCTGTACATGGCGAGCCAGAATGGCCACGACAGCGTTGTTGCGTTGCTCATCCAGGCGAATGCCGCAGTCGACCAGAGCAAGAAGGCAGCACTCGGAAACACTAGATTTTGCGTCATAGTTCTGTAGGACGGCGCCACGCCTCTCTACGTTGCTGCCCAGAACGGCTTCGATGCCATCGTCGAGCTCCTCTTGCAGTCGGAAGCCAACGCCAACGCCCGAAAGCTCGTACGGAATGTATGAACTCGAAAACACTCATGGTTTCTGCAGTCGGGGTCGACGCCGCTATACGTGGCAGCCCAAAACGGTCGCGAAGGCATCTTGAAGCAACTGCTGCAAGCGGGGGCCGACGTGAACCTTGGCAACAACGTACGCTCGCGCCCTCGGCTTCGTCTTCGAAGGCATGTGTCTAGGAAAACGCAACGCCACTGTACGTGGCAGCAGCCAAGGGCCACGCGACAGTAGTCGCCATGCTCGTGCAAGCTGGGGCCGATCTCACCAAGAAAAAACAAGTACTTTGGTGGCCTTGGATCTCGCAAATAACGTGGAAATTGTAGGCGGGAACAACGCCCCTGATTGCAGCGGCCTTCAACGGCCACAGCGACATTGTAGCCTTGCTCATGGAAGCGAGCTCGGACGACGGACCAGCGGTACGACACTGGTAACTTTCATTTGCGCCTCTATGGTTCGTAGGACGACTGGTCACCGGTCTGGGCCGCTGCGTTCAGTGGCCATTCAAATGTGCTGCAGCGCCTCATCCTCGCCAAGGCCGATTTGAACAAGTGCGACAAGGTATTTTCTCGGTAGAAAGAGTTGACCGCATCCAACATAGGACGGCTGGACGCCACTGTGCGTGGCAGCACTCAATGGGCACGCCAACGCCGTCCGGGTCCTCTTGGACGCGGGGGCCGACATTGACCGCGCCACCAACGTACGTTTTTCACATTTTACGCAAGTGGTAGAATACTGTCGGCAGTTTGGCGCCACGCCGCTGTACATTGCGGCGCAGAATGGGCACGAGCACGTGGTCAAGGTGTTCATCGAGGCCCGCTCGCACATCAACCAAAGTCAGCGCGTACGTTCGATGTCGTCGAGGAAGTATTTCCAATTTAGTCGACTAGTCGGGCGCGACACCTCTCTACGTGGCTGCCCAAAACGGCCACGCCAACGTCGTCGCCCAGCTTATTGCTGCGAACGCGGATGTCAACAAAGGCGCCGAGGTAGTCACGCCATGTGCTGCGTCACGCGTACTTGTGGTGCTAGCTGGGCGCAACGCCGTTGTACATTGCAGCACAGCACGGTCACAACCCAGTCGTGGCGCTCCTTCTCAACGCAAAAGCCGTTGTCGATCAAGCCACTCACGTACTATAACGTCCGACTAAGATCTGCACCCTAACATTACATGCAGACGGGTGCGACCGCGCTGTACGTGGCTGCGCAGAATGGCAACGCGACGCTGGCCAAGCTCCTCGTGCAAGCCAAGACCGACGTCAACAAGACGTTCAAAGTTCGTCCCGCACGACCCTAATCGCGCTCACGTAACCTGTAGCAAGGCGTGTCTCCGTTGTGGGTTGCTGCCTCTAAAGGGCACGTTTCAGTCGTCGCTGTGCTCGTCCAAGCGCATGCCAACCTCGATCTTTGCAACGCCGTACGTTCGCACGCTTGATACAGTCGATTGCATCGAGCGACGTAGGACGGGCGATCGCCGCTCTGGATCGCTGCCTTCAAGGGATTTGCTCCAGTCGTGGCACTTCTCATACAGTCCGGCGCTCAAATCAACCTCGCCGACACCTCGGTAGTACTATCTCTCTCGTTCGAGCCCTTAGCTGCTACTAGGTTGGTGCGACGCCGCTATATGTCGCGGCGCACAAGGGCCATGATGCTGTCATCTCGGTGCTGCTGCAAGGCGGTGCTGCAGTCAACCAAGCCGCTTCGGTGCGCGTCGAGCACTCTACTTCCAGCCCATATGTTTATCTATCTAGGATGGCTGCACGCCCCTGTCGACGGCAGCTTTCAACGGACTTGTCTCGGCGGTGGCACTCTTGATCGCAGCGCAAGCCGATGTGGACCTGGCCAAACATGTTGGTGCCAGCACGTATCGCCCTTTGCTGAGGCGAGATATTGCGTAGGATGGCACGACACCGACGTACGTGGCAGCGCAGAACGGCCACACCGCCGTCGTCGAAGCCCTTCTCGGCGCCAAGGCCAAGGCCAACACCTGCCATAAAGTATCCCTCTTCATCGATGTAAGATTTCATGCAGTGGACTTAGGATGGACGTACGCCTCTGTGGATGGCTGTTTGCAACGGTCACGAAGACGTGGTCCGCCACCTTGTGCTGGCCGCTGTCGACGTCGACAAAAGCCACAAGGTGCGAAGCATCAGTCCCCGTCTAGTACCAAATGACGTAGGACGGGCGCACCCCGTTGTGGATGGCAGCGTTCACGGGCCACACAGTCTTGGCGCAGCTTCTTTTGGAAGCGGGCGCCGATCCCAACAAGAGCCACCGCGTACAACGTGTCCTACCACATGGCGTTTCACAGGTTCGTTGGTCGTAGGACGGCCGCTCCCCGCTCTGGATGGCGTCCTTCAACGGCTTTGGCAATGTTGTCGACGCTATCGTGCTCGCCAAAGCAGACATCAACAAGCCGCACAAGGTACACACTCGCCTACGTTCTAGCCTCTTACGACTGCAGGTGGGCGCGACGCCGCTGTACGTGGCGGCCAACCAGGGCCACGCCAACATTGTCCAAGCCTTGCTCGCCGCTCACGCGGATCCAGATCTAAGTCACAAGGTGCGCATGTGTCCTGTATCGGCTGCGTGACGAGCGAAAGGACGGACGCACGCCGCTGTGGATGGCGGCCCTCAACGGCCATTACGACGTCGTCGACAAGCTCCTGGAAGCACACGCCGATGCAAACAAATGCCACAAGGTCCGCTCGCGACTGCACCAGACCATCATGGTTGGCTAGGACGGGCGCACGCCACTGTGGGTTGCAGCCTATGGCGGGCACGGAAGTGTCGCGGCCTTGCTGCTTCGCGCGGGCGCCGATAGCACCAAATGCGACGAGGCGGTGCGGCAACCAGAAAAACTTGCATTTTTTATGCATCGAGCAGGTGGGCGCGACGCCGCTGCACGTAGCGGCCCAGCGAGGCCACCCGGCGGTCGTCGAGCGTCTCATCGAGGCTCACGTGGACCTTAACTGCTACAATGACGTACGCTCCGCGCTACTCAGAAGCAAGGCGCGGACATTTGGAATAGGAAGGCGCAAGCCCGCTGCTTGTAGCCGCTCAAAGCGGTCAAACTGCCGTTGTGCAGCGATTGCTTTTCGCCCAAGCCGACTGCAACCAAACCGACACCGTAGTGTTCCGCACAGTAAGGAGCCGTGTTCACCGTGGGACAGATTGGCCGCACGCCCTTATACGCCGCGTCTCGCAACGGATCGAACGACATCGTCGCTGCCCTCTTGCGCGCTGGCGCAGACGTCGCTTTGGCGAAAGAGGTAGTTTCCGAGCTACGCGCATCTTAGCGACTCTTCTCTAGTCGGGTGCCTCCCCTCTGTACGCTGCGTGCAAGTACGGCCAGCTCGGCGTTGCAAAGCTGCTGTGGAAATCGAATGCCAATATCGACCAAAGCCGCGAAGTCGATGGATGATACAGGCGACTGGCGCTCACGATCGCGTAGGACGGGCAGACACCGCTGTTTGTTGCCTCGCAGTACGGCCACGACGCCGTCGTCACCTGGCTACTGCAATCGAACGCCGATGTCAACCAGCCCAAAGATGTACTACAGCATTGACGTGTGCATCGGCTCATTTGACATTAGGACGGAATCCATCCGCTCTATATCGCAGCGCAAAACGGCCACGACCTTGTTGTTGCCCAGCTCTTGGCCGGAAACGCAGCCTTGAACCAAACCGACGCGGTACGTACGGAGGGGATACAACAGTTCCAACAACGGTGCAAGGCGGGCCGAACCCCCTTGTACGTTGCCGCCCAGAATGGTCACAAGACTGTGGTCTCCCTCCTTCTCGACGCTGGCGCCAATGTTGCCCAGAGCAAAAAGGTACGAAGATTGTGCAATACCTGTGTGTCATACGACACTAGTCGGGCACGGGACCTCTCTTCATTGCCGCAAAGACCGGACAAGTCGATGTCGTACGCCTGCTTTTGGACGCAGGTGCCGACTGCAACCAGTGTCGTAACGTACGAGCCACTGGAATGTATCTGCCATTGTGCATCGCTGCTCTATCTCTAGGATGGACAATCACCGCTGATGGTTGCAGTCGAAGCGGATCACCGAGAAATTGTCGATACCTTGCTGCTTGCAAAAGCCGATGTGGACCAAAGCACTGATGTTCATGACGGCTCGGTCACGGTTCAGAGTCTCACGCTGCTTTTCTAGGATGGCTCGACAGCACTACATATTGCGGCGGCGGCGGGGCTAGAGGCTATCGTATTGAAGCTTCTGCAGTGCCACCCTGATGCGGATCAGTGCAATTATGTACAAAGACTTACGATGAACTCGATGGCTGACATTGCTCACTGTTTCAGGCCGGACAGACGTCCGTGTGGGTGGCTGCAGCCAATGGCCACGTGAACGTACTCTCGCGGCTCCTTGAAGCTGGCGCAGACCCATCGTGCCCCGACAACGTACGCATTGTATGATAGCGGTCTTTCACTCATTTCTTATTCTGAGCTAGTGCGGTGTCACGCCGCTGAGTATTGCCACTAAGAACGGGTACGGCGATGCGACGACAATACTTGTCGAAGCGTGTCGCCGACAATAATGACGCGCTCCCAACAAACATGATGTATCAACACGTGAAGCCTATCTTTGATCTACGCCTTATTTAGTTGTGCGCGCGTTTTGCTCCTTGAGGTCAATGTCCAGCCTAAGCTGAGTTTCTTATTCTTAGTATCCTCCGTGATATGGACGTCAGTTGTCGACTATAACCCGTTCAGAACAATCGCATCAATGTTTATTTGCGCCTGCATGTCACGGAAATTTTAGAGGGCAACAGATACGAGTTTTAGCAATATTCCGTCAATTGCGAGGCTATAATTTATTAGTATAAATCTCTTCTGTTGTTTCTATTTCCTATGGATAAACGATTTGTTTGCACTCAGCCACATTTTGGTCCATTTGTTTTCCCATTGACATTTGCTTCATGGGACTAGAATTCTCCTTCCTGGCTGATGAAAGAGAAAATTGTGCAATGCATGTCATTTGTTTACTTAT